GATTGAGCTGCCGGTGCCCATCATATTCATGAAAAATTAGATTTAATCACATAATTATAAAATAGTTTTAAAAATAGTAAATTTACAGAAATACCATGCTTACATAATTAAAACCGTAACAAAAACTATGAACTTTGATAGCATTTTCAAAATGTGATTTAACTACAGTACTTTTATTTATTTATTAAATGTTATACTGTATTATAGTATTATCATAGACTGCACTGTAAGAGACTGTAATTTATATACTTTGCATTTGGTGTCGATTTGACGTAAATTGCAAAAATATGTATTTATATAAATCGGAAAATTAATTGTTACAATGATAAATTAATACCATTTATTTACAATTACAGATTTTCTGTATATCTGAGTGGAGAATTCCAATAGTGTATCAGAAAAAAGCTTTAATCTTAATTTTCCATAAGAGTAATATTGAAAGAATAAGATTAAAGCTTTTTTCTGATACACTATTGGGATTGGCCTTTCAGATATATTGTTTTATAATTAATGTGACAAATAGAATTGCAAAATAATGCACATGTATATAAATTATATTATTAATTAAATACCTTCAAATCTCAATATACAATTCAATAACAATATTATTATTTAAACAAAACTAATTTTTAGAAATTAAAAATTACATTCATTTCAAAACTTTACGGACGGCTTCTACGGCGGGTTTGGGCTTAAAATCTTTTGTCCACAACTGCTGTTCCCCATAACTCGTGTCGAAGAAAAACGAGTATTTATCCGTAAACCCCCAAACGGTAACCCCAACACACCTGTCCACTTTCTCACAGGCGCTAAATGCATGACTATAATCCTGGGCCTGATTTGCAATCTTATCATCTGATCCAGGCATCAGATACCTAACTTGAAGCTCAGTGATGGCCACATCCAGTTCCAAATCGGAAAACCGTTTGAGATTCTCTTGTAAGGTCTTGGGAACGTTACCCTCTTTGAAGTGAGCCTGAATACCCACCCCATGTATGGGCACACCCTTAGCCTTCCAGCCCTTCACCAACTCGTATAAGGCATCAGATTTCCTGTTCTTGCCTTCGATGCCGTAGTCATTGATGTATAGCTTGGCCTTAGGGTCGGCCGCATGTGCCGTACGGAAAGCCTCTTCAATAAAACCCGTGCCCAAGGTTTTGGAGAATAGGCTGTCCCTCAGCTTATTGCCCGACCCGTCCTCATTGAGCACCTCATTGACCACATCCCACGCGTAGATCTTACCTATGATTTGAATAAAAAGTTTAAAAAAATAATTAAAAAAATTATGGGTTATTCATACTAATTTACATAAAATTTATGAATATTAAAATCAATATAATGTATATTAATCAACAAAAATGTATTTTAAATACTTATATTAAAGTATACAATTAAAAACAAAGTAATTAATGTTTCATAAATACCCTTAAAATGTTTAGCGACTGTATTGATGTGATGCTTAACCACTTTCTCGAGCTCAGCCTTTTTGCCCTCCAGTTCCATAACATAGGAGGGTATGCGTTGGTGCCACAGGAAGGCATGTCCCCTGATCTTCATGTGATGTTTTTCGGCGAACGCCACCAGTTTGTCGGCGTTTTCCCACTCGTACTGCCCTTTACTGGTCTC